CCTTTTGCAACTTTCTGATGAGCAAAGTCAATGGGTAGACCAGATTCACTTAACAGCCGTGTGACAAACTTTACAACTGCAACAATTCACTTAACAGCTGTGTCAAGAAAGATCATAAAAAGGGGCAAAGCTCACTTAACAAATGTCTCTCTTAGCAACATAAATTTTGGACTCAGTTGTGGTCATAAGTCAAGGACTTCCTGTATAGAGCCAGTTTGATTAGTGGCTAAAGCACCTGGCTAGAATCTGGAAGATTGTGAGTTCTAGTCCTGCCTTAACCATGAAAACCAGCTGGGTGACCTTGGGCCAGTTACAATCTCTCAACCTAATTTATCTTACAGGGTTGTTATTGTGGGGAAAATAGGAGGAAAAAGAAGTATTCAGTCCCTTGAGTTCGCGAATAAAGATGGTATATAAATAATAAATAAATAAGGAATATGTTAGAGGTGGAAATACCAAATAAGGTAGAGCTAAATCCGGTAAGGTGGAAATACAGATAGTCCTTGAGTTATGACCACAATTGAGCCCAACATTTATGTTGCTAAGTGAAACATTTGTTAAGTAGGTTTGCCCCATTTTACGACTTTTCTTGCCACAGTTGTTAAGTGAATCATTGCATTTGTTAAGTTAATAACAGGGTTGTTAAGTGAATCTGGGTTCCCCATTGACTTTGCTTGTCGGAAAGCCTCAAAAGCTGATCACATGACCCTGGGACACTGTAACCGTCATAAATATGAAGCACTTGCCAAGCATCTGAATTTTGATCGTGTGACCATGGGGATGCTGCGGCGGTTGTAAGTGTCACTTTTTTCAGTGCTGTTGTAACTTTGAACGGCCACTAAATGAACTGTTCTAAGTCGAGGACTACCTGTAGTGTTAAGTGTTAAATCACTTATTTTGCATACAGATGGTCTCAGGTACATGGTAGCATCCAAGTCAAACCTTCTTCCATGTTGTGTAGACTGGTTCCTGAAGTATGTTCTTCCAAATGTGATAAAACCTTTCCTCCTGATCAGACCTCGTTGGTATGCTCAGTGTTGAAAGAGCATGCAGTCTAATACATAACATCTACATGCCTACATTGTTCACACCTGCACTTAAAAAGCATGTCTAAAAATAGCTTTGCATCTCTCAAACTGTTTTGTTTGTTTCATGCATTCTGGAAGTCGGTTTGTGCAATTGTCAAAACCATAGCAATATACTAAGAGCTTTCTACGGTGCTGTTTCTACACTTCTAGGGAGGATTTGAACTTCCTCCATCTAAAAAACTGCTTAAAAGACAATCCTACATGTAGTATGTCTTCAGAATTCATTTCCAGAAAGTAGGACTTATTTCCAGGGAAGAGGGACTAGGAATGCAGTTTCATTTCAATTTAAAATCCAGGTCATAAAGAGCAACAAATACCTATATATCAAACTGGTTTCTATTCATTGAAATTGAGCAATGATTTTTTTTAAAAAAGGATATTTGTTTTGGAGAAAGGAGAGGAACAGTTTCTTTTCTTTTCTTTTCTTTTCAAATGACCTGACTTTTGGAAGACTGGAAAAATAGTAGAACTTAATTAATTATGCTTCAATTTTAACTGTATGCTGCAATAATTGGAAGACTATGCACGAGGGAACACAATGTTAAAATGAGGGAGGAACTGGAATTCAAGAATATTTTGAAGACAAACATGGACAGAAGATAAGGTTCACAGAGATGCCACATAGTGACTGCTTACTTAGAAGACAGGTTTCAAACAATGATTTGGAAACAAAGTCTTTCAATCTTCACTTTTAGCTTATGCAACGTGGAAAATCTCTTTGCCTTCTTCATATTACTCAGTGTCTTAGAAGACCGAAGTGAGACCTACGGTTAATTATGCTTCAGCAATATCTGAAGTGCTGTTATTCACCACCTCTGCACTCTATTAATATCTGACAAGGACTCATGTCACTTGTCTTTGAACTAGATGCCAGTGACACTCAATCAGAGAAAATCTACTTTCAATCTTAGAAAGCTCCAATTTTTGAGAACTTTTAAGCACGCCTGCTCCCTTTCAGACTTTTGAATGCATGCTTCTCTTCCGTTTCTTCTTGATTGTGTGTGCACATTTTAATTAAAAGGAATGTATTTCCATTGAAAGCAAGTTGGAGATATTTTTTTTAATAGCTCCAGGACTGATACTGACTAGTTTAGAAGGAAGATGGGAAGGGTTTTAATCAAACATGCTCCTTTCCCAACTTCTGCTGTGCTGTCTTTTCTTTCTTTCTAGTGTTCGATTTTCCAAAGTTAGAAGGAAAGAGATTAACAGATTGGCAGAACAGGTTGATGCTTTTATCCTAGCCTCAGAAGGGGAAAGTCAAATAGCTCTGTGCTTCCTGAGACACCTTCCCGAAGACCATTGTAGCTTAATTGTCACAGTCTACAAAAATAACATCATAGTGGGAAAATGAAAATGATCCAAAATAAGTTGCATCAATAATTCATATTGTGGAATAAATAAAGTTTCTAGACTAGAACTTTTGATCACAGCAATGCACATTCCTATCCTCAAAATCTCCTTGAGGTAGCTGTCTCAAGGTACTGGTATATTGACAAATAACTCACCCATTGTCCACGGAATAGCTTCTCATAGGACCATGGAAGTCACTGTCTATGTAAGAAAATGTTTTGATAATATTCCCATGATATGCTGAAGATTTATTTAGCTTATGGCATATCATACACGGACTAACAATATATATTAACATTTAATCTAGCTTAATGAAACACAACAAAATATAAATGTTAAAAAGATCTGTGTTGAAATATTAATGTCTAGGCCATCTAATCATTGAAGTGCAGCATCGTTTATATTAAAAAAAATCCGATGCTGGATCGGTATGGGCCTTCAGCTTACAGCTGGTCACAATGTGATCTACAGCTTGATGTGGGACCCCCCAGTCACACGGAGGGGAGGATACTATGTCCCGTTTATACAGGGAATCCCCTGCTGTGTGAGGTGTGAATCCTAATCCTAATCTCTGAAGAATAACAGAAAGAGACAATCTTATTTATGCTTAATGTCTTGTGCAAATTCTGCCCAAGTGGTGAGTTTAATTCAACATGTCATATGAGCCCAGATAATGAGTTAATTGAATACATCTAGTCAAATATGAGTAAATGTATCATAAGATACATTTGTCCTTGTCTCTTCACCTCAGTGTTCTTTACTTTGACTGATGGCAATAAAATTGTAGTGTTTAAACTACAATCATTTTATGTTATCCGGTACCCTATCTTATGTATGTTGAATATGAGAATGAAGAGCTGGAAGGTGCATGCTAAGAAATGTGCTTGGTTGTTTCTTTTTTCACACTTGAAGATGGATACCTTTTTGAGAAGACTGAAAAATGAGTGAAACAGGGAAATTAAGCATTGAATGCTTAAGAAATCTGCTTTTGCTCTTTTTGAAAAAAAAAAAATAGCAAGACAACACACCACTGAAAGTTGACAATTTACTACCAAAATTGAGGTTCTGAAACATGGAATCCCACTAGATAATGTATACTCAGTTTACCAGGTATTTTTAGTTTGAAGTTAAATGGCAAATTTTAGAATCTCCTTTAAAAAGGGATGTCATAAAGATATATTGGGAAACATTTTAGATTCCATGTTTATTTACTTGTCTTTTTCTAACCAATTGTACTCTTCTAATCTTTTCACATGCTTTTCATTTTTCATAGTTTATATTTTCCAAAATATATAATAAAAAATAAACTCTTTGAAGTCTTTAAAAATAGAGCTTCATCTGAACTATGGCAATGAGATACCAGTTTTCTCTACTGTGGGTTATTTTAGTTATATTCATACTATGGATTTACCTCATTATTCAATATTTTAATAATAATTTTCCTCATTTGAAGAATAACACAATGGCTAACAGCAACCAAAAATATAGACCTAGTTTCGTTGATTGGGTCTACAAATTACTTTGCACATTTTAGATTTTTGTAATTTCAAGGACTCAAAGTAAATCCTCGAAGTCAGTAATATATTGAAACATATTTAAATACAATTGTTTTTCCAAACACACTTAATTTGGATAATTAATCTAAATTATTCTGTTATATTTGTTATATTCTGTTATATATGAGTTTCAACCAGCTAGGGATTTTTATTTTATTGTACATATTTTACATCAATCCTTTTGTAATTCCCTGCTTGAAATCTGGAAGACTTTTAAAATTAGTTTTCACCTCTGACGCATATCTGACCATGGAATGTCACTTATCACTTGGAAATAATCTGATGAATGCAGCACAACTATCCACCCTGTTTACAGATTTTTTTAAAAAGATGTATTTCTTCGGAATGGAATGTACTAGCCCTTGTACATCAATCGTATATTACATTCTGAATTACAGAGATTATTGTTTAGTCTTTGTTGTGTGTTTTCTTCTTTCCCCAGGAAGAGAAAAATAACATCCCTCTTGACCTATGGAAGTAAAAATAAAACTAGGCTAAATTTGAAGCTACAGTTTATATAATTGCCAAGGTGGCTTGTCAAATAAGCTGATTCCCCGACATGTGATGAATTGCTCCTCAATAAGGAACCACTATTATATTGATGGTACCTTATTTTAAGACAGAGTTACTGTACACACAGTATCTTGCAGGGGATACAAAAATACATACAGAGTTACTATTCAGTAAAAACAGAGTTACATACAATACTGTACAGAGTTACATATAGAGTTACATACAGGCTGTATCCTAGAGCCTCTCAAAAACTTAGATATTGCTCCTTACCTGCTCCAAAGCTGATCTAATTGAAGTAAGTATGTGGTGTTCATATTGGGATTCAAATAAATTCAGACTGTTAAGCACTATTTTGGAACAAAGAGGTGCAGCTGGCTATTTAGTGGCATTCAAAAGATACACTTTAAATAGTGCCTGGGCCTGGACAAAAATAACCACTAAATATAGTTGTTTTCCATGTCATTAATAATTTTCTTCTTCTGTTATACATTAGAAAAAATTAGGTGCAACTTAGGGGCAGGCTGTATGGACTACATTCAAGTATGTTAAAAGCTGCAGTATATGCCATTCTCTGTCTTGAGGTAAGTGCACAAAGTCATCTGGGTGGACTTGAGCCAGTCACTCTCTCTCAGCCCTAGGAAAAAAGCAATGGCAAAGAAAATTGTAGAGAGTAGTCCAGGCAGTTGCCAGGAGTCAACACTGATTCGAGGGCATAAAAAAAAATGGAAAGATCTGACATGTATGTCAGGGTAGATAAACATTTATGGTTACAAAGCCACATGCTTAGAATCAGAAATATCAATGCACAAATGCAAAGAAATTCAATTTCTAAACTGACATTAAAAAATTCCTAATTCCATCCTAAATGTTTCAATCGATGTTTCATATAAATGATTTTATAGTGATATCAGCCTGGGGTAAGAAATTGATATTGAAAGTTGATCTTCCGTGGTTACAGAAGTCATTGCCCACCTACTTTGTCCTCAATTAAAAGGTAGGGAGAAGAGGGGGATTTACCCATTTGTTGTTAGTTGCGAAGTCGTGTCCGACCCATTGCGACTCCATGGAAAACGTTCTTCCAGGCCTTCCTGTCCTCTACCATCTTCTGGAGTCCATTTAAGCTCACGCCTACTGCTTCAGTGACTCCATCCAGCCACCTCATTCTCTGTCGTCCCCTTCTTCTATTGCCCTCAATCTTTCCAAGTATTAGGCTCTTCTCTAGTGAGTCTTTCCTTCTCATTAGGTGGCCAAAGTATTTGAGTTTCAACTTCAGGATCTGGCCTTCTAAAGAGCAGTCAGGGTTGATCTCCTCTAGGACTGATGGTTTGATTGTCTTGCAGTCCAGGGGACTCGCAGGAATCTTCTCCAGTACCATAGTTCAAAGGCCTCAATTCTTTGGTGCTCAGCTTTTCTTATGGTCCAACTTTCACAGCCATACATTGCAACTGGGAAAACCATGGCCTGGACTATACGTACTTTTGTTGGCAGGGTGATGTCTCTGCTTTTTAGTATGCTATCTAAATTTGCCATAGCTTTCCTCCCCAAGAGCAAGCGTCTTCTAATTTCTTGGCTGAAGTCCCCATCTGCTTTGATCTTGGAGCCCAGAAAGATAAACTCTGTTACTACCTCCATTTCTTCCCCATCTGTTTGCCAGGATTTGAGAGGGCCAGATGTCATGATCCTGGTTTTCTTAATGTCAAAACACAATAAGGGGTGCCATTTATCTATCAGTGCAGTGAATGGGCTAAGGGTGTAGTACTCAAGCTGAACTGCATTTTTGTGGTTTAACTTCCTGCAGAGAATTTAATCCACTGTATGAAAGCCAAATATAGAGAAAACCTTCTAGAACTGGTCCAGTTCCAAATGGATTTGCACCCCCAGTTTAAACATGATCCACAGAAGAATTACTTTATTTCTTTATGCCACTGTTTAAGCATACTGTGCTTAGATTAAAATATTTAATCTAGCCCAGCCCAGAAATGAATTGATCTCATCAATAAATTAAAGGGATATAATATTTGTTGCAGCATGTTTATCTTATTAAACTATTAAATTAGCGTGGGCTCCTAAAGATGCTTAATATAAAATCAATAACAAATGGAACAATTGTTGTAAAAGACAGGATGCAAATGTGAAAGTGACAGGGTGGGAAAAAGGGATGAAAACAAACACCAGTCCTATTATTTTAAAAAAATTGTACAGTTTTTATAATGCCTAAAATGAAGGCAGATCAGAATGAAGAGAATATCTGTCTGTCTGTCTGTCTGCTTGTCTGTCTGTCTGTCTGTCTGCTTGTCTGTCTGTCTGTCTGCTTGTCTGTCTGTCTGTCTGTCTGTCTGTCTATCTATCTATCTATCTATCTATCTATCTATCTATCTATCTATCTATCTATCTATCCTCAAGTTATGACCACAGTTGAGCTTAGAATTTATGTTGCTAAGTGAGGAATTCGTTAAGTGAGGTTTGTCCCAATTTTACGATCTTTCTTGCCACAGTTGTTCAGTGAATCATTGCAGTTGTTCAGTTAATAACACAGTTGTAAGTGAATCCAGCTTCCCCACTGATTTTGTATGTTGGAAGGCTGCAAAAGGGGATCAAATGACCCCGGGATGCTGCAACCGTCATAAATGTGAACCAATTGTCAAGCATCTGAATTTTGATCACGTGACCATGGGGATGCTGCAATGGTCATAAATGTGGAAAACAGTCATGAGTCACTTTTCTCAGTACTGTTGTATCTTTGAATGGTTACTAAATGAACTGTTGTAATATCTATATCTAAATAAAGATAGTCCCTTTAGCCCAACAGATAAAGTGAAACTGTAATTCCTGCCATCTCAATAGGGTATAGTGGTTAGGGGGATGGTGTTCCATTAGTCTCCCAAAATATAGGTAGTCCTCAATTTATGACCACAGTTGGGACTGGAACTTCCATTGCTAATGATGCAATTGTTAAGTGAGTCATTGAGTGATCATTCCTGATTTTATAATCTTTTTTTGCCATATTTGTTAAGCCAATCGTATGGTTGTTAACTGAAGCCAGTTTCTCTGATTTACTTGTTGGAAGCTGCCTGGGACAGTTGCAAAAGGCAACCATGTGACTGCAGGAATGCGAAGACTGGCTTTATGATACTTTTTTCAGTGTTATCTTAACTTTGAATGATAGTTAAATAAATCGTCATAAGTCCAGGACTACCTTTAATATGTAGCTTAAGATATGAGATTGTAGCTTAATATATTCTTTCTCTGGTATCACCCTGCCTTTTATATTTATTTTGTATATTAAGCATTCTGTATTCAGAGTTGGGTCATCAGAGCAATAAAGCAAAATGCCAGGATAATGTATATTCTGATGTTTTTAGTTGTGGTCATAAATTGAGGATGTCACCAGGTTTTAGCTCTACAACTGCATCGAAGTCTGTCCTGATCTTGGACTATACTTTTGACTGCAGTTAGGGCATGTTGGAAGGGTTGTGGATATTGACACTTCTGTCCAAAAATGAACACAGCATTAAAAAAGAAGCTGATTTTTTCTTTCTGAGATGCTAATTTTGCATATGCAGAGCACTTTTAATTTATTCAGTTTATTCAGTTTGAAGGGATACCTTTTGCCTTAATTCCTTTTCAGCTTTTCCCCTCCTTCCTGGTGCAGAAAGGTTAAATGGATTCTGAAATATAGTAGGTAGAAATAAGACTTCCAGTTTATTTTAGGGCTGATTGGGAAATAATTGTGCTATTGTATTCTTATCTTTCTTGTGAATTTTTCAGAGACATCTGGTTAATTAATGTGATAACAAAATGCTGAACTGGATTGGTCTTTGTTAAATTTCAGATCTTGTGTTTGGAAAATGACAGCTATGTTTGTTTGAATTAAGAGCTTCTTTGAGTTGTGGTTATGAGTCAAATGTGCAAGAGTTACTCATTTTTTACTGGCTGCCCATGTTTTTGTCAAACTCTGAAGATAAAATGTTCTTCAAAATGTATCTCATGAGTCCTGCAACATAATCAACGCAGGCATGCTAAAATGAGTTTAGGAGTAGTCCCAGTTCAATCTACCTTTCAGAGATGTTGAGAAGATGAAACTGGGTAACATATACAATTAGAAAATTAATCAGTAGAACAACCTGCCTCTATAAGTTGTGAATGCTCCAATACTGGAAGTTTTTAAGAAGAGACTGGACAACCATTTGTCTGAGCAGGGGGTTGGACTAGAAGACCTCCAAAGTCCCTTCCAACTCTACTATTATTATTATTATTATTATTATGGATCATCGCACAGTCAGCCAGATGTTCAGACTGGATTTGGCATTTTGTCTACCTATCGAGTCCTTACCCAGGACCTGGGATAGGCAGATGTGGATGTTTGATGGTATTACAGATATCGTCGCAGGTTGGAAGCAGTTCCTAGTAAGGCCGCCTTTTGCAATTGACTAATAGCGAATTTGTCAATGCCAATGGTGTTCAAGTGGTGCTCCAGTTGTTTTGGGATTGCACCCAAGGAGCCTATGACTATTGGTACTACCCTTGCTTGCTTTTGCCACAGTCTTTCTATTTCTATTTGTAGGTCTTTGTATTTTGTTATCTTCTCCAGTTCTTTCTCTTCTATTCTGCTGTCTCCAGGCACTGCCACGTCCACTATCCAGACTTTTTTGTCTTTCTTATCGACAATTGTTAAGTCTGGGGTGTTATGTTGCAGGTGCTTGTCTGTTTGAATTCTGAAGTCCCAGAGCAGTTTAATTTTATCATTTTCTATGACTTTCTCTATTTTATGATCCCACTAGTTTTTGCTTACAGGCAAATGATATTTTTTGCAGATCTTCCAATGCACCATTGTTGCTACTTTGTCATGCCGCTGCTTGTAGTCAGTCTGTGCAATCTTCTTGCAACAGCTTACCAGGTGGTCCACTGTTTCTTCAGCTTCTTTGCATAGGCGGCACTTACCATATATGCCGGCGTATTAGGCGACCCGGCGTATAAGACGACCCCCGAGTTCGACGCCGGGTCGCAAGACGATCAACGCCGAGTCGCATATAAGACGACTTTCTAGGCATGCGACTCGGCGTCGATCATCTTATACGCCGGAAATGATGTCATTTCCGGCGTATAAGATGACTTTCTAGGCATGCGACTCGGTGTCGATCATCTTATACGCCGGAAATAACGTCATTTCCGGCGTATAAGATGATCGACACCGAGTCGCATGCCTAGAAAGTCATCTTATACGCCGGAAATAAACGTAGTTTATAACGTTATTTCCGGCGTATAAGATGACTTTCTAGGCATGCGACTTGGTGTCGATCATCTTATATGCCGGAAATGACGTCATTTCCGGCGTATAAGATGATCGACACCGAGTCGCATGCCTAGAACGTCATCTTATACGCCGGAAATAATAAATAAATAAATAAACGTTATGACTCGGCGTATAAGACGACCCCCGAGTTCGGAGGCTGTTTCATCGTCTCAAAAGTCGTCTTATACGCCGGAATATACGGTACTGTCTGTTGCTGTCTTCTCAATTTTGACTTTATATGCGTTTGTCCTTAAGGCTTGGTCTTGTGTAGCCAGAATTAGTCCCTCGGTCTTTTTCTTCAATTTTCCTGCTCTTAGCCATTGCCAGGTCTTGTTATTATCTGCTTTCCCAGCTATTTTTTTAATGTACTGGCCATATAGTGCTTTGTCTTCCCATGCCTCTATTCTGTTCTTCATTTGGTCTTTCTTGTAGGCCAGTTTGGTCTCTCCAGTAGTCAGTAATTATTTTTTTATATTATTATTATTATTATTATTACTACTACTACTATTACTACTACTACTACTACTACTACTATTATTATTATTATTATTATTATTATTATTATATACTGCTTTGAGTTCTTGCTTGAAAGCTAGGGTATATGTACATGCATTCACAATTTACATACTGCATGGAAGTGAGAGATGTACCTTTCAAGAATGAATTTTTAATATATTTTAAATGCTTGGAACATTTTTAAATAAAAACCAAAGAGGTCACAGCAAATTATTCTAGAAGCCAAATTGGCATTATATAACGTTACTTGCCTCTCCTTGGAATGAAGTGTTTAGAAGCAATTATTGCAAGCTATGGTTGAGATTCTAAACCACGGCTGCTTTAACCTGAAGTTATGATTAGACATTTTTTCATGATAACTGATTCCAGTTCAAAAGAAACTTCTCTAGGTCACCCCAAAATCTTTGCTGTTACTTTTAGAACCTACTTTGCTTTTTTAAAAATGATGTTTGGAATATTGTTTTACATGCTAAATTTTGGATGTTAGAGACGCAGCTGGATGATTATAATGGGAGACTAAACTGCAATGATTTGTACAGTGGGAGAATGAAACTGTTAGGCAGGGCTGGAGAGGAAGAAGGAAGGAAACTGTATGAAACTGTAGGTGGAAACCCCCTAGAAAGCAATGAGGGAGGTGAGATGATTCATAGGGTGACCAATGAATGAACCAGAAAAAAAGGGGACCATGTACAGTATATGTGTTTTGGAAGTGGGGTGTCTGAATAAATACATTGTTTGGAGGAGTAATCCACGAAGACATAAGGAAATGAATAATTCAAGTAATTGTATCTTGTGTTCTAGGCATATGGGAAAGTTGAATCTTATGGGATGGTTAGATCTTAAGTGTCAGGACTGTGCTTTGACCTGCACATTATATTGCCTCCCCTCTCCTGGAAACAGATATGAAATCATCATCATCACCATCACCACCACCACCACCACACCACCACCACCACCACCACCACCACCATCATCATTATCATCACAGAATGACAGAATAACAGAGTTGTGATGGAAGTTAGCCCAGAGAAGAAATATTAAAAAGGGCAGAAAAATATATTTTTCCTCAAAAGGACTTTTTAAAACCAAACCTGGCCCCAAATCTATCTCTCTGCCCCAAGCAAGACTTTAACCCTATACAAATGCAGATGTAAAACCATCAGGAAGTTGAAGCCAGAGCAATCAAGAAGACAAAAGAGAAGATCTGCATACCCCACCCAAACTCTAGGAGTCAGCCCCATCACCTGGGAAGCAGGATATGATAATAGAATTAAACCACAGATATCAAGGCCTAGACAAACACTCAGAAACAGCCTCAAGGTTCATGCCACAGGAACAGGAAACTATTCCAAACAAGGCTAGAGGGGGTATAAAAAGCCTACTGCTCCATGTGCTCAGCCCTTCTCCTTCTCCTTCGCCTTCTCCTTCTCTCTCCTCTGCACTTTCCTGAAGAACCATCTTTCTGCAATAAACTGTAACCTTCTTCCCAAAGCAGTCACCATGTTTGCTTATTTATTCCCGGCTTGGATGAACCAGGATGAAGACTTTACTTCTAACAGTTGGAAGGGACCTTGAAGGTTCACTAATTCAACTCTTTGCTCAAGTAGAAAACCCTATACCATTTCAGACAAATTGTTGTCCAATCTCTTCTTTAAAACCTCCAGTGTTGGAGCACCCATAACTCCTGGAGGCAAACCATTCCCCTGATTAATTGTTCTCACTATCAGGAAATTTCTCCTTATTTCTAAGGTTTCGGAATTCTCCTTGATTAGTTTCCATCCGTTGCTTCTTGTCCTGCCTTCAAGTGCTTTGTAGAACAGATTAACCCCCTGTGGCAGCCCCTGAGACATTGGAACACTGCTATCATGTTCCTCCAGTCCTTCTTTTCATTAAACCAGACATACTCAATTTCTGCAACCATTCTTCATATGTTTTAGCCTTTAGCCCTAATCATCTTTATTGCTCTTCTCTGCACTCTTTGTAGAGTCTCAACATCTTTTTTATATCATGGTGACCCAAACTGGATGCAGTATTCCAAGTGTGGTTTTACCAAGGCATTATAAAGTAGTACTAACTCTTTATGTGATCTTGATTCTGTCCCTCTGTTAATGCAGCCTAGGGATGGAATCATCATCATCATCATCATCATCATTTTGGTAATTGACCAACAACTAAAACAATTGTGCCAGTAGTTAATCAACATATGATAAGAATAGCTAAATATTTAAATATCTTAAATAAATAAACATAGTCTTAACCCTAAATTTATAAACATGATTAGGATTACAGTCTCTCTCTCTCTCTTTCCCTCAGCTCTAGGAAGGAGGTAAGGGCAAACCACTTCTGAAAAACCTTGAAAAACTGAAGGGACTAGTCCAGTCACCAAGAGTCAAAAGCTGACTTGAAGACATTAAAAAAAAGTGACTGGTAAATCTGATTAATTTGGCTCATGGAAGCAGACATTCCATTTTATGAAATATGGGGCTTTGCCTGGAGAATTAGGGAGATACGATTCTAATGGAGGTTTTGGCTTTTTCTGTATCCTGGCATTCTAAGTCCTATATAACCAATGAATCTGGTTGGTTTAGCTTCCCGTGAGAATGGATGTCCTTGAATTTTTGTCTTGTTCCAGATGTTTTTTTGGGGGGGAGAATTAAGCCAGTCATAAAAATATATTGAAATGGTAAACATTGTTCCAATTTATTTCTAATATATTCCACTGTTTGTTACATTTTGAAAATGGTAGAACTGTCCTCCTCCAAACATCCTTCTAGCCATTTTTTGACAGGAGTGGAGTTTTCCATCAATTGCCAAAAAACAGACAAAGTCACTTATTCACTGGCGTATGGGAGAAACTGTGAGGGGAAGATGGCCTTATAGATACCATCTTTAGGGTCTCCAATTGTGCACAATTCTGCAGTGAAGTATAGGGTTATTGTCTGATTAGGCACACAAATGATTATGTTATTAAGAATATTACTTAGATAAACTACCCTGTGCTTCAGGGCAGGCAGTTGTATGAGTCCTAATGGCGTTTATTTAATAGCTCATTATGAAGGGCAGGATCACTTGGCAAGCTGGTATCCTACTGTCATATGCGGGGAGCATTTTATTATACTTTCACATGTTATTGGAAATTGGAGTAAATAAGAGATAAATTTTCCCTACTGGATAGGATCAATTGGATATTTGCAGACAGTGACATATTATCAGTTGGCAAAGCATTTCCCCCCAGAAAACTAGGTTAATGATGTCTGGAGAAAATGAATATTTTCTGAAATTGCTATGCACAGTAGAAATGTGCAAGTTAACAAGCAGGATTTTCAAAAACAACAAAGGCAAATGCACGTATTTCCTATTGTAGATATTTATCCCCAAGCAAGCAGTTATGCTGAAAAATACCATACTGATTGTCTACATTCTCTTAAAAATGAGATGTCCCCTGTTTATATTTTATTTTTCAATAGTTCTCCTGCTTCTAATTTACATTATTTGGCTCATTTGTGCTTCATTAATTGTTTCCTCTCTTTTTAAAGAAATGCTGAACTATTTCTTTCTTCCTAGTTTTTTTTTTTTTTAATGAAACCTTCCGGAGTTAAAAGTCATAACCTCATGAAATAAAGCGGAAGCATCACCCATGTACAGTTACTTGTGGTTAGAATTACTATATTTGCACTGAATCTTGCATCCTGAATTCTCCTCTAAATCTTCATCTTAGTCAACAAGACTGTTGCAGTGGGATTTTCGGTGACTGTGGCAATGGGTTGATTTAATGTGCACATAATCCTTATTGCTAAGATAATTTTTTAAAAAACAAACATATTTAAAATATATCTCTTCACTCCAGTTTTCTGGTTTTCATTTTCTTCTGTGTGTTTTTTCATCACATATACTGGGCTAACGCATTTTGTTAAGCCATATTAAGTTTACAGGTAGTCCTCAACTTATGACCACAACTGAGCTCAAAATTTTTGTTTCTAGATAGTTGTTAAGTGATGTTGTCTCATTTTACGACCTTTCTTGCCATGGCTGTTAAGTGAATCACTGCAGTTGTTCAGTTAGTAACATGGTTGTTAAGTGAATCTGGCTTCCCCATTGACTTTGCTTGCTGGAAGGTCGCAAATAGAGGATCACAAGACCGTGGGACATTGCAACTGTCCTAAATATTGCCAAGTTGTCCAAATTTTGATCACATGATCATGGGGATGCTGCAAAGGTTGTAAGTGTGAAAGTGATAAGTCCCTTTTTCTAGTGCCATTGTAACTTCAAACGGTCACTAAATGAACTGTTGTAAATATACCTGTATTTAGCCTTGTTTTAGGATGGTGAATTACAGTTTATTCAAGACTTTCCACAATCATGCACATGGGTTCACATGTCATGCTAAGCCATGGCTTGTTTAACCAGGGTTTATACCTGTGGTCACCACTTTTGGGAGCTGGTGGTCGTGTTTGGAATTTTGAGAATGTCATGGGCTGTCATGTAGGGGTAGACAGTTAAAAAAATCCATTGAAATTGTTTGTCTTAATCTTTTCATGCCTCCCAGGATGAATTACATCTGGTCATATCACCTTTGTCCTCTTTCTGGGCAAATGAGCACACTTTCAGGAAGACAGCAGGTATAGTACCTACTATTTTGTTTCTTAAGAATACCTCTGGAATTATGTGGGCACTGTTTGGAATAACAATTATGCCTGGGACTGGAACTTTGCTTTGCAATATGCTAATTCCATCCATCCATCCATCCATCCATCCATCCATCCATCCATCCATCCATCCATCCATCCTTTCTCTCTCCATCTGCCAGCTGTGAAAGGGAGACTAGTATTGGATACATATGTGCCCTGAGCACTATATTGAGAATCCAGTGTTGAATAAATTAAAATTGGCTGAGTTCAGTGTGTTAACCCAAAAGAAATTTGATATGTGTCTTAAGAATGTTAAAAAAAAATGTTCCCGTTTCATATTTATTTCCATTCTCACATCATAAAGAATGGAAGTAAAAGTGAAAAGTATCCTTTGGGGAATGCTCATCCATCTTGACCCATGACTTTACTGAAAAATCTTTGATAAGGTTCCAAGGAATTAATTGCCTCATATAGTTCTCAGTTATAGCTTGACATAAATGGATTTCAGTTATGTTGTAGATTCTGAGTAAGCAATACATGGCCCTCCAGAGGTTGTTATATCTTTCCAACTGACTTCTCTTCTGACGAAGACAGAATTAGCTTGAATTGGGAGAGCCATGAGAAGCAGCCCAAGGCCAATTAAAAGTACGTAATTCCACAACCTTGTGCTGTGAGGAACCTATCTCTGATGCAAACAAGATTTCTGGATAATTTCTTAGTCCTAGAGATGCTACTGAATGAGATTGTGCAGCTGTGCTTTAATGTCAGACTGTAAACAATAGTGGATTCCCTGCACATGCGCTGGCTAGCAACCCTGATCGGGGTAACCATTCCCTGATGAGGAGAGAAGGTCCCAGCAACATCTTCAGGGCTGTTGATAAAGTTTGTCAGGGTATTGTGCAGCCAATGTCCAAATGGAGTCAATGATGATGATGATGATGATGATAATAATAATAATAATAATAATAATAATAATAATAATAATAATAATAATAGGTAGACAAAATGCCAAATCCCGTCTGAACATCTGGCTGACTGTGCGATGATCGATAATAATAATAATGTTGAAATGGACCTTGGTGGTCATCTAGTCCAACCCCCTGCTCAGGCAGGAAACCCTATACCATTTCAGATAAATGGCTGTCCAGTCTCTTCTTAAAAACTTCCAGTGTTGGAGCATTCACCACTTCTGGAGGCAGGTTGTTCCACTGGTTAATTGTTCTAACTGTCAGGAAGTTTCTCCTTAGTTCTAGGTTGCTTCTCTCCTTGATTAGTTTCCATTCGTTGCTTCTCGTCCTGCCTTCAGGTGCTTTGGAGAATAGCTTGACTCTCTCTTCTTTGTGGCAGCCCCTGAGATATTGGAACACTGCTATCATGTCCCCCCTCGTCCTTCTCTTCGTTAAACTAAACATACCCAATTCCAGCAACCGTTCCTTATATGTTTTAGCCTCCAGTCCCCAGATCATCTTTGTTGCTCTTCTCTGTACTCTTTTTAGAGTCTCAACATCTTTTTTACGTCGTGGTGACCAAAACTGGATGCAGTATTCCAAGTGTGGCCTTACCAAGGCATTGTAAAGTGATATTAACACTTCACTTCGTGTGATCTTGATTCTATCCCTCTGTTAATGCAGCCTAGCACTGTGTTGGCCTTTTTGGCAGCTGCAGCACATTGCTGGCTCATGTTTAAGTGATTGTCCACTAGGACTCCAAGATCCCTCTCACAGTTACTATTATTGAGTAAGGTACCACCTATACTATATCTGTACATATTTTTTTCTTGCCTAAATGTAGAACTTTACTTTTTTCACTGTTGAATTTCATTTTGTTAGATAGCGGCCAGTGTTCAAGTCTGTCCAGATCCTCCTGTATCTTAAGCCTGTCTTCTGGAGTGTTGGCTATTCCTGCCAGCTTGGTGTCATCTGCAAATTTGATGAGTTCCCCATCTATCCCTCTATCCAAATCATTGATGAAGATGTTGAAGAGCACTGGGTCCAGAACAGAGCCCTGAGGCACCCCACTACACACTTCCCTCCATGTAGATGAAGTTCCATTGAGGACCACACACTGAGTACGGCTGGTCAGCCAGGTACGAATCCATCTGGTGGTGATGCTGTCTAACCCACATTTTACTATCTTATCGAGTAGTAGGTTGTGATCTACTTTATCAAATGCCTTATTGAAGTCCAAGTAGATTATATCCATATTATTCCTCTGATCCACTAATTTTGTCACTTGGTCAAAGAATGCAATAAGATTTGTCTGGCATGATCTGCTTTTGACAAACGCATGTTGGCTTTTAGTAATGACTTTGTTTGCCTCTAGGTGTTCGCTGATTCGTTGTTTGATTATCTTTTCCAGAATCTTTCCAGGTATTGAGGTTAAGCTGATAGGTCTGTAATTTCCTGGATCCATTTTTTTTCCTTTTTTGAAGATGGGAACTACATCAGCTCTTTTCCAGTCCTCTGGTAGTTCCTCAGTGCTCCAGGATCTTTGAAAAATATAGTTCAGTGGTTCTGAGATCACATATGCCTGTTCCTTGAGAATCTTGGGGTGTAATCCATCTGGTCCTGGTGATTTGAACTCGTCTAGGCTGGACAGGTGCTCACTTACCATTTTCTTGCCTATCTTAATTTGTGTTTCTATTCTGTTTTTTATGGCACTATTTCTGATAGGTTGGTCTGTTTTTTCCCTTTGTGTAAAAACAGATGCAAAAAACGAGTTAAATAGTTCTGCTTTCTCCCTATTGCTTGTCATCATTTCCTTCACTTTTTTCTTGTTTTTTTACATATTGAAAGAAGCTATTTTTCTTATTTTTGACTTTGGTCACAAGCCTTAGTTCATTATGGGCCTTAGCTTACCTCACTTCATCTTTGCAGGCTCGGGTTATTTGCTGATATTCTGACTTAGTTATGTGCCCCTCTTTCCAATTTCTATACTTGTCCTTTTTATCTTTCAATTTGTCAGAGAGTTCTTTATGCAGCCATGCTGGTTTCTTTTGAGAGCTGTTATTTTTCCTCTTTGTTGGTATTGTGCTAGACTGGGCTTTTATTATCTCACTTTTCAAAATTTCCCAAGCTTCTTGAGTTGTTTTCTCCTTGAGGATTCTCAATCATGGAATCCTTTCCAAGCCCTCTCTAAGTTTATTGAAATTAGCTCTCTTGAAGTCCAAAACTCTAGTTTGACTGTGTTCTATTGCTTGTGCTTCCATAATGTTGAATTCCAATATTGCATGATCACTCCCAAGGTTCCTGTGGCTTCAACACATTCTATCATTTCATCTCTGTTAGTGAGAATTAGATCCAGAATGGCTAATCCCCTAGTTCCCTTCTCTACTTTTTGGGAGACAAAGTTGTCTGCTAGGTTTGTCAGGAATCTGTTTGATCTTCCACTTGGTGCAGTTTGTCTCCCAGTTGATGTCAGGGAGTTGAAGTCCCCCATTACTATTGTGATGTGCTCCCTACATACCTTAGTTAGCTGACTAGCAAAAAGTTCATTTATTTCCTCTCTTTGGTTGGATGGCCTATAGTATACACCTATGGCAATGTCATTTTTTCTCCCTTTTATATTGACCCAAATGCATTCAAGACAGTTTTCATCATTGTTCTGCTCTATTTCTGTATAGAGAGCAACTCCACGTCCTCTTTTATTTGGTCTGTTTCTTTTAAATAATTTAAATCCCTCTAGCTGTGTGTTCCATTTGTGGGTTTCATCCAACCATGTTTCCATAATGGCAACAATATCACATCTGCCCTCATTGACCTGAATTTCTAGTTCACCCTGTTTTCTGTTCATACTCTGTGCATTGGTGTATAGACATTTGAGACCTTTATGACTGACCCTGTGTTTACTTTCTACATAACCTGTGTGGTGCCTGAGTTCCCCTATTGTCTTACCACCTATTTGGTTAATGCACTTTGTGTGGCACTTGCTATTAAAAGCTTGATTTTACTTGACAGCAAGGTTGATATTCTTGTCCACACACACATCTATGTTACATGCACTGATAGTTCTATAGTTTTTAGATTGCCAGGGACAGGAATGTTCTGTATCAGTTAACTCACTGTCCCCGCTGTTTAGTTTAAATATTCTTCCAGAAAATCTGAGAATTTATAGCCAAGTAACTCAGTCCCTTTCTTTGATGGATGCAAACCATCTCTTTTGTACACTTTTTCATTGGACCACCTACTGACATCATGACTAATATATCCAAAGCCTTCCCCTTTACACCACTCCTTTAGCCACATATTGAATTGTGCTATATGCTGGCCTTTTCCATTTTGCTCCTTATACACTGGTAAAACCTCTGAAAAAGTAAGCCTACAGCCTATTCTACTAAGTTCCTGCCTCAAGCTCTGGAAATCATTCTGCACAGAGAGTACATCTTTTTGGGACAGATCGTTAATGCCAAGATGTACAATAGTCTCCACATCATAGTCCTTGCTGGCATTCTTGATTATTTTAGAAATACACTTCTTGTCCCTACTGGCAGTAGCACCTGGGAGACACCTGATCTCTTTTGAAACCTCTGTGTCCTGTCCTAAATTTATATCCCTTATAATTGAATCACCAGCCAGAAGGTGGCTTCTCTTTTTGGATGCCTTTCTATTCTTGCATGACTGATGTGTAATACCTGATTCGCACTTCTCCCTGTCGAAAACAAGTTCTTCATCTCGGTCCATGATCCCCTGCTTATTTGAGTTATCATCACAAATACCTTTACCTATCTCCTTAATGTCCCTATTGAGGTCAGCAAGGCCACTGTATCTGTTGTGCAGGGACACAGCGAATGCTTTGTGTTTATGGTTCACAGCTCTCACCCTGCCAGATCCCACGGTTGTCCACACTGCCCTTCTCCTGCAGGATCTTTGTGGTAGTGGGGGCTGATAGCACGGAGGCTCAATAGAGTAGAAGGGCTGAACTAGACACCTAATTTCTGTCTGAAAAGCACAGATTACAGACCCTAGATAGATAATCTGTCCTTG